GATTCGAACCCACGACCAGGTAGGCTTCTGGTATGCCCATGGAAACAACTCTGCACATCAAATTGCGGCGCGCCTAAGATGACCGAGCCACCCATGCCTCAACTGAATTAGGAAATCATGGGTGGTTAGTTATGGCCCTTTCATTATACAAAGACGTTCGAGACAATAACTTCTTGCCAGGATCCGCTGAGCAGTTGTCGGTTCGAATCTCCCTGATTATGATCCTCGGTCTGTCCGCAACAAACCAAAGACAGTGGGTTTGACCAAGATGATAGACGTCTACGGCCTGCCTCATTTGGGGCTTTCCTCCTGTACATGTCAGACACGCCGTGATATAACTTATATTCTGTTCAAAGCGGAGTTAAAAACGACTCGCATTTATGGATGCAAAAGCGTCGAAACAATTTCCATATTTTTATCATAATCAAAAGAAATCGCAGTGTCCTTTGTACGATTCCGACTATATCATGTGTTTACGAATCGCTATCAAGTGGTGGTATAAGGTGTTCGCGAACCGGCGAGCGTATCTGGCCCCACCGATGGCACCCGTCACCAACACTTGCAAAGGCCGGTCATTTCAAGTTGTTCGTGTAAATGCAGGAACTAAAGATTCAGTTGTCTGATCAAGTGGGTGTCAGCTGTGTGTTAATGGAGATAGCATTGTGGTCGAAGCTGAACATCCTACTCACTGTAACACCTTGGGGATAGCAGGCGGGGTGTGGTATGCAAGCGGTATACCATTCTTATAGGAAGTGACTTAAGTGAAGACGCATGCTGTACCCTGTACCAATGGGTTATCTGCCCCAGGTTTAAATATATATCTGAAAGTGTTGACTGCTGTTACTGAGTTACTTTTGAAATCAAAACTCACTGGCCTGTTTGTATGACATTTTGGAGGTGTTCTGGAGTTTGACACTTTGCAGCCCCGTGAGGATGACTGTCGCGAGAGGCGACTAAATGCATTGGACTCCATGACCTGGTTCACTGTTGTCATCGTACCCGGGTGGCGTTCACCATTCCCGTCCTTATCAAATAAGCGCTTGTGCCTTCGTCATATTGTAGATTCAGCATTACGTATACTCCCCGGGGAGTTGAGAATAAAAATCGAGTGCACACTGATCCACTGACCGGGGTAATAATGAACGCTTTGAGCATGGTTTATGGTGTGAGGTGAGGTGAGGTGAGGTGAGGTGAGGTGAGGTGAGGTGAGGTGAAATGGGGTTTAACGTCGCATCAAAGATTATTGCACTTATATAGCGACGTGCATGTACGTGTGTGTGTTTGTGTGGCTGCTTGTGCTAGTCCGGACTGATGCCGATTTATAGTGCTAGACCACTGAGATACCATGCCGCAGTTTAACATAAATACCCCACTCAGAGACAGTATACGGACTCCGAGCCGACCAGTCCTTGTTTTAGCCCCTTAATGCTGAGGCAGATTAACAACAAGTACCATCTTTTAACGTCTTTTGGTATGGCGCGGCCGGGGATCGAACCACCGACCTTCCGCTCTCCGGGCGGATGCTCTACAGCTAGACCACGGAGGCGGTCGTTTATAGAGCGAATTTAGCGCATGCACAAAAAGTATTATTAAGTTGACACATTGTCATGTAACAAAAAACCGGTCAAAGCGGCGTTAAAACCCAACTTATTAGTATAATAGTAACTACGTGCCTCCAAAAATATTTACATGACCTGTATAGGACATGTGTTTTAGTGATCCAATTAAGTTGAAGACCGCGTCATCAGTGAAAGATTAAAATCAAGGTTCATTTCATGTTATAGAACTTGTTAATTAAGAGTGCAGATGAACGGAAAGCTTAGAATCCTCACTGGCCACGCGAATCAATGCTCTTGCTGTTCCCGAAGTGACCATGTGAACAGTGCTGAGGGTAATCCCTTGTGCAAAGAGAGGCCAATTACTGCCATGTAAGATGAGAGCAACAAGGATGTGACTCTGTCCAGGCTCCCTTGGGATTCGCTGCCTCCCGGTACTGTCTAAACGTGGTGGGCAGCTACATGTTTCGACGGCGGTGTAAACATGATTGTTAGCCTGATTTCTTGATAGGCAACGAGGCTGTTCGCATTTTGAAATTGAACTGTGTTGAGTTTTTTATAGATACTATTGTGCAAAATGTGGCTTTTGTGATAAGACACAAGCATATAAAAATAACGATATTCCTCTCCTATAGATGCATATACAGTGTAAGTAATCTTTCTTATAAAGGTGCATGTGTCAATTTAGTGTTTCAAAAGTTTAAAAATAACTATATTTTATATTTTATTTAAAGTATCTTTTTAAATAAACTATATCATCTGTATTTGTTTACAATCCCGTTTTAAATAACATGATTTCTTAAATCTTGTTCTGTGTTTAAAGACAATGTTTTGAACTTATGAGATATTAGCTAAAGTCAAGTATCTGTATGTTCATAGCTGAACATTAATTGTAAATTTACGAATAATCAAGAAACATTCAACATTTAAGATAAAAGTGTTATGTACATAAATTTTTATAGTGCAACAATTAAGATAACTTGGTAATATTCTTTTTGCTTCCAATTTTCTTATCTGTTTCCTCATTTGGAATTTATGGAAATTACATAGGAAACTTTTCAATGAAAACCATTGAAGTTAGTTGTAATATTTCTTTTAGAAGCGATTAATGTATCATATTCATTTTATCCACACCACAACTGTGCTTGTTGTCTTTAGTTACACATTTTAAGTGTGGGATTGTGTGAATAACCGTTATCTGTAATGTTAATATGAATTTGTTTTCCCATTTAGATAGTTAGATATGGAATTTATTCCACTGTCCTTCACAAACATGAAGAAACACACGTGAAGATTTTTACACTGACATGGTACCATTTCCCTATACAAACCGTTAGCATATTCCACATCATGCTATATCAGTGGGGCAGGGTACGGTCACTTATTCGCGAACACCTGGTGTCATCACTATTTGATAGTGATTCATAAACACATGGTCATGATATAGTCGGAACATACACACACGCGCACGCACACGCACATTCACACTCACACAAACACGCACGCACGCAAGCACACACAAATCCGCACTCACACTCACGCACACAAACACACGCACGCACGCATACACACGCACGCACACACGCGCGCACGAACACTCCACATCAAAACATACGTGTTTTGTATGCTGCGCTGACCTAGTATACGACATTTACAACCCCCCTATCCCCCCAAACACACACACACCCCGTCATAATATACGTGTTTTGTTATGTCTGTCACACTGACCTCGTGCACGACATTCACACACCCCTCTACATCTGGTCAAACACCAGATTAGAATGTTACACTGATACGATATACCCTCCGGTAGGCATTAACTGTCGTAAATAATAAATAGGAATAGTTTGACACATATTGGAAGCACCATGAACACGCCATGCAGATAACAATTGATTTAAAGAAATAGCAATCTTCTCTTATCGTTATTGTCTCATCAGCATGGCCACATATCGGACTTCAGGACGACATTCAGAATGCAATTTGTCAAAATAAAAAACAACTTCTGATCAGAATGGTTGTTCCAGTCGAAACCCATTGTAAGAAAACATTGCTGGTCATTGCCAGATATTTAATTATTAAATGGTACTAATTAATGGTTGGCGTAAGAGAGAGTGAGTATGGTTTTACGCCGCTTCAGCAGTATTCCAACACTGAACCATTGGACAATCCCACCGCCCGCCGGTCGTCGTTAGAGTCAACTAATTGGGTTGGGTGGTCCGGCTCGGGGGTTTGGTATGTTTAACGTGACCCGACGCCGTGAGACGTTGCTCATGATATCAATCACTGGTTTGTCTGGCCATGATTCGATTATTACAGACCGCCGTGATAAAGACGGAATATTGCAAAGAAACAAACCTCATTGAAACAATCAATGATTTACCGCCTTTGTTTATGAATTCAGTCAGTATAAACTCACGCGCAAATGAATGTATGAAGGTATACACCCATGTTATATGGTGGTTAAAAATGAAACAATCCAAAAATGGTTATTCGATGATGATGTATTTGATGCGGGTATTATAACTTTGTTTTGGCCTTATGTTTGCAGTGTTTTCAGCCTTTTAACGTTTCGATAACGTTTATAATATTCATACATTCTTATATATACGGTTTTCAAGCGTTTAAATTATCAAGTGATTATATATTGTTTTTCGGAGATGCCTGTTCTTCATTTTCACGAATTACGGAATACATATATATGGCACTGGTGTTGAAAAATACTGAAACACTTGTGTAACTACAATTTTCCGTGTTCCTGATGTCATCACTACTTTACATTGTTTCGCGAACACCTGGTGTCACCACACTAACTTTGCAATCATACGCATACACCAAGTGTGATAATGGGTTCATAAATTTCTCATTCTGAATTTTGTTTTCCTTTTCTTGTGATACAATACGTAATGGAGAATCAACAGATTCGAGTGATTTCTCCGAAACAGACCATGTGGATATATTTTTTCTATATAATTTTGCATAATGACCTATAGTTGCGTCAGTTCTACTTGTTAAAATGCACGTTCAGAATGGCCAGTGTATTCCTGGCTCATATTAAACTGCAACAACAATAGACTGACTTTATCAATATGGTTCCGGGTAAGGATATTTATTATGTGGCATATGTACTGAGGAACCGTGAAGATCCGGGATGGAATAGGTCTTCAGCAACCCATGCTTGCCGTAAGAAGCGACTAACGGGATTGGGTGGTCAGGCTTGCTGATTTTGTTGATGCATGTCACCGTATCTCAATTGCGTGGATCGATGTTTATGATGTAAATCACTGGATTGTCTGGTCCAGACTCGATTATTTCCAGACCACCGTCATATAGCTGGAATATTGCTGAGTGCGGCGTTAAACAACACACAATCAAACATATGGTCTGAGTATTCTTACACAACAAGCTATGATCAGTCATATACAGGTTGACTTCTTGCTCCAGGTACGTTTGTCCAGACAACATGCGTGTTCCCCGAGTTCCTACAAAGCCCGTCTGAAGATGGTTCGCTGAAACCCTGGAGTACCCGGATGTGGTGGCTCAATCTACGTCACCTACCGAGATGGGTGGAGAAGCAAGACGTCTTCATAGACGGCCCGTGGCTGTGGCGGCACCGCGACATCCTCAAGAACTGTGACCGAGTGACCAGGCGAGCCTACAGGAAGACCAGCTTCGGCCAGTGCTCCCAGAGACAGCTTGTGTACAACAGAACATGTCTGGCAGCCAAGGGATTCAATAAGTTCCAGGTGGTACAGTATGGGCCGGACAGGTGAGTCACTTCTCACTTCTGACTTTAACGGAAAGTCTTATCGCAAAGAATTGCTACCTCTTCGGATCTGTTGAGGATTGAGCGGGTTCGATTTACGCCGTTTAAGCAATATTCAAGTGAGTGAGTGAGTATGGTTTTACGCCGCTTTTAGCAATATTCCAGCAATATCACGGCGGGGGACACCAGAAATGGGCTTCACACATTGTACCAATGTCGGGAATCGAACCCGGGTCTTCGGCGTGACGAGCGAACGCTTTAACCACTAGGCTACCCGACCGCCCCAAGCAATATTCAAGAGTGATTGTGAGTGAGTTGGGTTTAACGCCGCTTTTAACTTTATTCCAGTTATATCACGGCGTGTCAGCTTAATGTGGGAGGAAAGCCCGAAGTGATTCAGGTCTAAGAAATATTCAAGAGAGTGAGAATTGACTCCACATCATACTCATGTACAATCCAGCCCGTGTTATCAGCGTGACGACAAACGCTTTGAAGAAGCTGCTACAGCATCACCCCTCTTTGTGATAAAATGAGTGAATATGGTTCTACGTCGCTTTTAGCAATAGTCCAGCATCAGAAATGGACTCCACTCAATTTGCCCATGTGGGTAATAGAAGCCGGGTCTTCGGCGAGCGAACAATTTAACCATGTGGCTCCCCACCGCCCTTTTTGTGATAAAGATAAGAATGGGCTCAGTGACTGTATTGTATTGACCAAGTAATTTCGACTGATATATCTGGCGTTTATATGTTTCTCGTGCAAGCATGCAACGAAACGGGTGCCACTTCCCAGACTTTGTATTACTGAGTGGTTCATATTTGAGTAAAATCTGTGACAAAGCAGGCTTATTTCATACATTGATCAACATGTAAGAATCAGTTGGCTAATTGGAGACTAGATAGAATAGCGTGATCGTGGTGATAACGTTACAAGAAAACTAAATGACTAAAAAAGCATTTCCCCTTATAAATATTGCCCAAAGTTTTCATAAAGCTTTTAATAAAACATATCACGCGTTTTGCGATTGTGGGTTTGTAAGGTAGTTTGCAGAGGTTTAAGCAGTAATAAAAAAAGCTAGAACACCGATTTAGGTTTTTATAGAACCGTGCCGAAATTGTGTGACCCCCTTAATTCTATCTTAATCATTCCTAATTAGGTTTGCCTCACAACACTTGAAGCTAACGTAATTCTAGGGTTTGTTGTAAGGTCTTGGCCACAGAGCATCGGTATCATCGCAGTAGGGCGACGGCCAGAACATAAACTACACCGATGGCTCACGTATCGAGACCACGAAACTGGAAGACTTCGAGAACCATAATAACTAATCAAGTAAAGATTTAACCGCTGATTCAAGATCATAAAATGTACGTTTACTTGAGCCATATCACTTTAAATCAAGATGGTTTTTTTCTACATCAGGCCTTGCATTTTTTAGCTTAGTTTACGCTCCCAGCGACCACAAAAATCGAAAATTCAGAAGAACAAAAAATATGAGAATGTTACGTTTTTTTGTACTGTTGACAGTAAAGATCGCTTTAACAATAAAAATAATCCAAGGGATTTTTTGTTTGACAAAAAACAGAATTGTTTTCAACGATAAATCGTTATTTTATTTTTTATCATCTTACCTATGTTTACAACTATGGTAACAGAACAGCTTACAATGCAATGTACCTGTGCACAATGTATTTTATTTTTTTATAAGTTTTTATAATTTTTCACCACCAGTATCCGTCAACCAAAGAGAAAAATAAACTCTGGTCTCATTTTTTCTTGGGATCACAATTTCATGAAGGCTGTCGGTGCGTATGGTAAAACCTGGGCCAATACAGGAGATGAACCTGTCGAATATATTTCAGAGTGGGTTTAGTCAGTGCGTGGTGTTGTCATTGGAGGAAGGCACAAACTGAAAAAGAGGAAAAAGAAAAGGAATAAACCCATTCTGTCCCTAGCTGTCATCCGATATCTGGCTTTCCTACATGAACAGTGTGTAGCTGTTCCCACTGACAAGGCCTCAAAAACAATAACCATTATATGTAAGCGTCACTACATTACTTGTTTGGTCAAAGACATTTATATTAGTGACATTCTAGAGACATATAGTCAATACTGCCACATAGGAGGCCAGCATGTAAACTTAGGAAGAATCCTGCAAAGACTACGCATCAATACTATAAACGTTTGGATTGACGTTAAGACATGAAGACATGTTCTCTTCTCCCAAAGCTTCATAAATAGCCATACAAAGAGAAAAACATCGCAGGGTCCAGCAAATGTACCACCAATTCCCCGTTTCCAAGATTAACCATAATCCTTAAAGCAATCAGGGAAGTACTCTCTCAGAAAGCATTCGAGACAAGTGGAATTAATATCTTGTCTGGATTCTCAAAATGTTCTTGATTTTTTGCCATCTTACTAAAGACCAAAGTTTAATTATGTCAAATCATTTTATTTTATACTTTGCCTGAAATGAAAGGATATGTCATCTGAAGTTACTGTGAAAACAATATGTGAAATGCTAGACATGATTTGATCCAAGATGTCTGACAGTCGAAATGCGTATAACGAACTACGGTTATGGCGAACTAAAATTAATGGTTCCCTTGGGTTCGTTATAACCGTAGTTTGCTGTATAGAAAAATTAGGGATAACACATTTTGGCAAGAAGTTATCATCTCCATGGGCACCAATTGTGCTTCGCTCCTTGCTGATCTGTTTCCTGGCACAAAGGAATCCGAACTTCTGCTCGGATACATATCAAAACACGGGAATTCGGCCAAGAAATTGAACTTTAAGGGCAAGTCTCATGAGTAGGTACACCTTTGCAGAGTTAGAACGTAACATCGTTAATGCAAATATCGTATTCAAAACATCGAAAGCGGCGCGTAAATAAGGTTAATTTGCAGATAAATCGTAGATCTGATATTGTTTAATAATGGTCAAAATGCAATACTTTCCGTAGATTTACTCACCTGAACTAGAAATACAAAAGAACACTGAAACCGCCTCATCTGTTTCATATTTAAATCTATGCATAAAGATTCAGAGTGGCAATAAAGTGTCCACAAGACTGTATGATAAGTGTGGAGTCAATACAGTGTCCACAAGACTGTATGATAAGTGTGGAGTCAATAACGTGTCCACAAGACTGTATGATAAGTGTGGAGTCAATAAAGTGTCCACAAGACTGTATGATAAGTGTGGAGTCAATAACGTGTCCACAAGACTGTATGATAAGTGTGGAGTCAATACAGTGTCCACAAGACTGTATGATAAGTGTGGAGTCAATAAAGTGTCCACAAGACTGTATGATAAGTGTGGAGTCAATAAAGTGTCCACAAGACTGTATGATAAGTGTGGAGTCAATAAAGTGTCCACAAGACTGTATGATAAGTGTGGAGTCAATAAAGTGTCCACAAGACTGTATGATAAGTGTGGAGTCAATAAAGTGTCCACAAGACTGTATGATAAGTGTGGAGGAGTCAATAAAGTGTCCACAAGACTGTATAATAAGCGGGAAGACTTCATTATTCCAACAGTCAACTTTTCCTTTATGTCGAGCCATATTCCAGCAGCTCCAGCCTGGGCTGTTTACACTTCACACCTTTTAAGGTATAATCGAGCACGATCTTTCTACGAAGACATCAAAGGACATTTGCTCAAACGTTGTTCGATCAGGTTTACAACATCAGTAAGGCTTTCAAAAAGTTTTGTGGTAGATATATGGAGGATATTTCCAAATTTGACGCATCAGTGACAAAACTGAGTTCCGATGCAATTCCTTATTTTGACCTGTACGATAGGCTTCCGCGTGTTGTTAGGTGAATAAATGACTTGCCTTTGCATGTGTTTGTGACAGGTGCCACTCGTGGGGCAAAAATACGCTTACCTTTTCGCGAACACCTGGTATCATCCCTAAATGATGTAAAGAAGATGTTGGACTAACGTGGACTTTATTATTTTATTATATTTTACATGTTCACCGAGTGAACATTTACCTCATTTTGTGTGTGTGTGTGTGTGTGTGTGTGTGTGTGTGTGTGTGTGTGTGTGTGTGTGTGTGTGTGTGTGTGTGTGTGTGTGTATATATTGTGTTAGGAAGCATAGCCAGTACAAACATTAATGATTTAATACACCATACTAGATTTACTGTACAGTCCAACCAGTTCAGGTTATGAAGAGAAATTAAATTTCTGTTAGAAAATATATTGACAAAATCAGGGTTCGAATCCTCTTAAGGGTCATAAAATAAGTCTTGGTAATCGCCCATGATATTGCTGTACGATTGCTATCAGCCTCGTTAACGCTCCTCACTCATTCCTCAGCAGGGTTGTACAACAAGGAGATTATATGTCCCCCCTCTTCTTGTACTAATCAAGTGAGTCAACAGAGAATGAGCCGCAATTATACCTTTACGATACACCATACACCCTGTGGCACTGTGTGGAGTCTAATTGTATTACAGTCAGCGAGGGAAGATAGGTTGTCATATTAGGAGAGACTGAGAGCCCGCCTGTGACAGTTAGGGGCAATTTTGTACTCAACTACTGGCATGTAATGACCCAAACGGAGATTGATTTGTATGACTCGTGCCATCAATTTCATGTCGTTTATCAACACATACATATATCATTGCTCTAGTCGTAAAGACCGTTTGTTCGTCACCAAAACTATTTTTGGAATAGGTTTGAGTGCGTACAACGTCTTCCTTCAAACGTGCATGGTGGGACTTCACTAACGGCAACTGTTTTTAGTTCTTTGAAGAACGTGGTTTCCGAAATTTTATTTATGGAAATTCAAAATATCGGGATTCATACTGATTTAGAAGTACATGTAATTGATGTTGGTTATACAGAAATTAAATGACCGCACTTGGTGTCATACCGTGACTCCAATACAAAGCAGTGCGTGATGCATACAGTGAGGGATTCTCTAGACAATAGGCGTTAAAAGACGGTATTTTTTGTTACCCTGTCATCATGTTAAACTGCAGCATGGTATCTCAGTGAGCTAGCACTTAAATCGGTACACACACACACAAACACACACACATACAAACACACACACGTGCATGCACGACGCAATATAAGTGCAATAATCTTAAACCAAATTTCACCTCACCTCACCTCACCTCACCTCACCTCACCTCACCTCACTTCACCTCACTAGACAATATACACGGGTATTTCAATAAAGATAAGGTATTTTGATTTTCTTGGCCTGGGGTGTGTGTGCTCCTACAGTCTACTTTCCCTACTGTGATTAAATATATTACCAGATGATTTCATGGAACAAAACTCATCTGTAACTATTGTATACACTCTAGCGGATATACATCTTGTTTTCCAGAACACCCAAGTTCGCCTGTATGAAGTTTCTTCGTCGGAGCGAGAACGTTGTTCAGGTGCTAGAAAGTAAGTCGAATTGTGTTTGTTACATTGTCAGCATCAAAAACCTATACGTGCTTTATCGTGGTCAAGATGCATGACTTCGTTGCAATCTGGAGCTAGTGCACCACAAGTAAAGGACCTCCCGATTCCTTCACATTACTATCGTTAATTTGTCATGGTAAATATAGATGAACTATACTAATATGAGACCGCCTCCGTGGTCTAGTGATAGAGCGTCCGCCCGGAGAGCGGAAGGTCCGGGGTTCGATCCCCGGCAGCGTCATACCAAAAGACGTTAAAAGATGGTACTTGTTGTTACCCTGCCTGGCGCTCGGCATTAAGGGGCTAAAACGAGGACTGGTCGGCTCGGTGTCAGTATACTGTGTCTGAGTGGGGTATTCATGTTAAACTGCGGCATGGTATCTCAGTGAGTAGTACAAGCAGCCACACGCACAGACACACACGTCCATGCACGTCGCTATAGCTATAGCCCCTTAATGCCGAGTGCCAGGCAGGGTAACAATAAGTACCATCTTTTAACGTCTTTTGGTATGACGCGGCCGGGGATCGAACCTCGGACCTTCCGCTCTCCGGGCGGACGCTATACCATTAGACCACCGTGGCGTACAATCACTTGTTAACAAGGATGCAAATGTCATAGAATCTTGGTCAGCATATTCCCCTGTCTTAATGGTGCACATATTGAGCACACAAGAAGAAAATAGTACTATTTTGGCTGCATATTGGCAAATTTGGTTTCTCTAGAATACTACATATCGCCCAATTTCAATAAGTAAATACATTGCTTTAATGAACTGGACTCCTTGTGCACGACCGTCACATATTCATCACAAGAATGCATGCCGCGCATTTCTGTTACTTGCCTAACCAACCAACCGAAAGCACATTCAATGATGACTCTTCGTCAGTTAAGTATTTAACACCGAGTGCAACCGTTATCAAATGGATCAGACTAAAAAAGCCAAACAGGACGTGTAAAATACATCAGGAAACACGAAAACCTTTTAGCTTTCGATTCATCTTCGACTACTTTATCCAAGGATCTCTAAAAACGCGACACCGCTGAATTAAGCTTTAATTTCGGTAAGCGATTGTTGTTGTTATTACTCGTTAATATGAGCGACCATTTACACAGACTCGTTACATACTTGAAGCCACGCCACCGTCTAAAGGTTTGTTTAATACCAGATTAAACTCAGTGCTCCTTAAATATAGACTACGAATCAAGTCAATGTTTGATTGCCCGTATGTAAGTGTAAGTCCCTTAGACATAAAAACCGGTGATACACGCAAACCTGGATGGGTGCAAATATTCATCAAATATTTAGACATTAAGAAAAAAGCGGTTAGCATGGTGTTTATAGATTTCTCCTTGAAAGAACTTCGAAAACAACACTAAATAAAGCTTTTAAATAAAATCAACCGGAAAATACTCGTAATGTTTTGAAAAATTCATGGCAAACCAACCTGATAATACATCTTGATTGATCACGTGACAGGTTGGTAACATGGAGCCATTTTCACTGAGTTTTTATTGTTTTTTAGATTGGAACATCTTCCGTGTTTTGTAGGATTGCAACGTCATCAATATTACGCATAAAAAAATATTTAAAAAAATATTACTCATAAATGGGAATGTATACATTTAAAAATTGGATTTGACTAATATATTGCAAACGTTATCAAAACATTACCAGGTTAAAAACGGACACCAAAACACTGAAAACGTAAGGTCCAATGTTTTTTTGTCAATACTCATCTGGGGACACGGATGGCAGTGTGGGCTAAAGACTAGCGTCTCCTTGGTCGTGGATACGAGTCCCAGTTTTGCTCCGAAACCCGTGAGCACTATATCTGTATTCGGGGGATCCTTGTCGTGATCTCCTGGTTCATCGCTATTTGACAGTGATTCATAAATATATAACGACAACGGGAATCAGCAATCTGTCTCGGTTGTACGCCGACACAGATTCCATTGCGTAAATAGACAAAATAGCGGTGAAAATTATATCGATGGATCACTTAAGATCATTGATGACACCAGGTGTTCGTGATAGGGGAAACATGCCCCGCTCTACCGCTAGCACCCGCCACTGGCACAATTTGCATAAAAAGAAGTGTTTGTTTGCTGTCTGACGCCCCACACCTTGTCACATCGTCGGAATCGTACAACTGACTCTGTTTTAAGCCGTTATTTCTTATTATTAAGGATATGGCTTTGTAGCTTTTATTTTCACAGTTTTCAACGTCTACGACCTGCGTCAGGTTTGACTTTTCACCCTTAAAAAGATGACACGAAGTGATGTAACTGAATCCCACTCACTCACTCATCTGGCCACCTACAATAAAATAAAACACCCTCTGATTAGCATAGAGACACAGCAAGTTTGAATATCCTCATTCTCATGCCACTATAACTATAAACGACGGTGGTATATTTGTTTACTAGGGTCTTTTTCCACAAAGGCGATCTGTGTTAAAGTGTGCGAGTTGGCGTTATCATGGCGTTAACAGGGCCCGACTATATATACAACTCAAAGTTTGCTATGGATCATGTTTTTTTTATGAAAGAAACTCATCCACAAATAAAGACTGAAATATCCCTGGACACTATAATTGGGTAACCCACATTTCATGACGAACGGACAGCGGTATGGGCACGATGTCTGCGGGGTGCTTTAAAACCTGTGTTTGGATGTATCGTGACAGAATCTTTGCACATCATTATCAGAGAGCACACCAACATTTGCTACTGAAGATTGCAAGATCTGAATGCACTTATGCCCACTCAGCGTCAGTGACGACTAACTAATCAGGCAGATGAAAGGCATGCTTGAGTGAGTGAGTGCTTAGGTTTAACGCCGCTTTTAACAGTATTCCAGTTATATCACGGTGTGTCAGCATAATGTGGGAGGAAAGCCTGAATTGATGCAGGTCTGAGACGTTTACCACTTCGGTGAAACCCACGAGCACGGGTATGATGCTGACAAACCTAGAAACATAGTCGGGGCGAACCGGGATTCGAAACCAAAATCATAGGTTTCTGGCGTGCCCAAGGGACGCAACTCTGCACAGCGATTTTTTACAGACCGCCGTCATATAGCTGGAATATTACTGAGTGCGGCGTTAAACAACAAACAAAGAAACAAGTAAGACAGTCAAAGTGCGGTGATCGCCTTATTGAACGGGACCCTACTGTCAGTAATATATGATACAAGGATACTAGACTAAAGGCGTTTAATTAAAGGTTAAAACAAAAGGACCCGGTGTTTAATCTTTTTTAAATGGTTGGATAAAACTGAAGCGTTTCAACGATTAGACGCCAGGTGTCCGCTGGCTCTAACCTAATTAAACCGTGGCCAGTACACACAGAACATTGGCACCTAACATGATGATACACCATTGTTTTGATAACAGTATTTAAATAGTTCTATCATCAAAGTCAATGACAGATAAAAGAAATTCCGTTATTTCCAAGTGGTGTTATTTTATCAATTCAGTCAGTTGATGCGCAGTCAGAAACAAACGAGACACAGTTCAATCTGTCCCTATTTAGTTTGGACTCGTTTTGAACATGCCAATGTGAATTTGAACATCCTTAAGATATTAACGTTATTGACTGTCAGTCTAAATCAATATTACGCTATCCATTACCTTAATACGTGAACTTCAAAACGTGAACGGGAAACAGCGACCTAAGTATTAAAATTCATTTGTTTAGTCCAGTCATATGCAAAACCATCCCAAATGTACAATGTCATTATTTATCATGATCTTGAATTAGAGCCTTGGTTGTGTACTCGTGTTTTGCTGAGGATGGAACCATGGTTATTAACACAAGACAAAGAAGACACCTCTGTGTTTACCTGGCCCATCGATCTCTCTGATCTGATTGCAAGAGACACATGTGCTACTGACAGCACTGGGATCACCTAGGACCCATTAGGTTATATGGTGGCATACAACAATCAATATGTAATGCACATGCCCTCTCTGTCTGACTCATGACATGGCCGAGTGTTGAGAAAAGTGTTTAATAAAACACACGAACGCATGCTCTGTGGATAGATTATTTCAAAGTTAGGACCAGTTATTTCAAAGCTCATAAGATGAGGGCTTAATATTTGTCACTCTTGGTAAGTAAAAAAAAATACCAAGAAAAGAAGAAGACAATAACAACATTTTCAAATATTGCCATCCGCATACCGGATAACCATTTCAAGGCATCCGGCGTACTGCACTGCATCCGGAATACCGTCTAACAGTGCTCGGCATCCGGCGTACAAAAAGGGGTTTGGCACCCTCAATGATATCACGGCGTGTCAGCTTGGTGTGGGAAATAAACACGAAATGATACCAAATATCAAAGATACGATTCTGATCAACCAATTACGAATATGAGATTCGAACCCAAGACCAGCGGATCCTGACACGTCAAAGCGCGCAGCTCTACACAGCGAGTCCCGAAGCCTTGGTCGTTATGATAGAGCATCATCATGTTCTCCACCCTCAGTTAAACAGCGGGTCATTCAGTGCAGCGCTGGCACTTGCTAGGTGTACCTAACAAGTACAATTCCTGGGTTCCCTTGGGGGGTTACTGTCGCTGTTGCCAGGCGTCATAGTTCGTATTTATAGATAATTACAAATGAAAAATATTCTCAATACACAGGTGACTACTCTACAAAATGGAAGGCTAACAGCGTCAATACAAACACTGCATGGATAAACATCTCGCTGTTTTGTTATCGATGAATCGATAGACGTACCTATATCATTCCATCGTTTATATAGATAGGTAAAGATCGTATATTAATTTAAAAGAAACGCAAAGGATGTAAATCACAGAATGTCTGTAAAACGATAAGATTAACATTGTTATTATTCGATTGGGTTATTTAAAAGTGTTAATTCGCTTTATTGGTTTAATATTGGAATGAAAGTATCAGCTAAGCACATACAATAACATTGTATATTAATTCTATAATTGATTTCAGACCAAATTT